TCCTAATGTCCAGGCACATTCAGTAAAGTCGAAAACGCTTTATCTTTTCGAGGTAGGCGCAAAAGGTCTCATTTCCATTTCATTATACAATGTGATTAAACAACTAGGCTTGCAAGGAAATGAGCGCAAACGAGCGCTAAAACAACTGGGCGAGGTTGCTGAGAGGGCCTCGGTGAGCTGGTCCTGGTTTCTAATGAAAAAAAAGTCTTATCCCTTAAAGTCCATCGTGTCCGAATTGTCTGCCAGTGTCCTTTGCCATCTGCCAACAAAGTCTAACATGTGTCTGATAAACGAACCGTAAGCTTGCCACTTGGTCGTCCAGGTGTGCAGACTGCTTTAATTATGCTACGGCAGCGACTATGTAAATACAGTATCTCACAATACCGTTTACAAAGTCACCAATTTCGTCTTGACCCTGTCTGAGAACATCCGGTAATACGTGCAGCAGGAGAAAATCAACCCTGAGCCTCGTGAACTCAGGTGGGCCCACTCTCTGAAAATGTCTAGGAGCTCGTGGGCCGAAACATTTGTCGACGAGAGATTACTTCTACTGATGATTGGTAGACTCCTGCGGTACATGCTCCCCTATGGAGTTTCTTCTTATTACACCACTGCGCGAGGGACTGGTAACTGGCGGTTGACCTCTCTCGCTTTGAGAAATTCCCCAAAGCAATCCGAAAAACTGGCCTAGGACCAGATATGGTTTTGTATTCTGCGGCGGAACGCTAGCTTGTCCTCATAGAGCTCAGTGTCCCGTGTGAGTCGCAGTCGAAAAAAAAAATCATCTGTATAAGCTCGAGAAATGCAGCGATCTGGTGGCCGCAGTAAAAATCTTCACCGTCGGGGCATGCGCAAGAGAAGAATGGATGTGGAGGCGGTCACTGCAGCTTTCCGCTGGTTACTGAACACCACACACACACACACACACACACACACACAAACACACACACGCACACATCGTGATTGTAACTGACTCAGAAAGCATGCCGAGGAAGGTCAGGACAGGCATGCTTCGTGCAAAGTGGCATGCTTCGCTGCGGAAGACACAAGAGGTCCGGATTTTTTTCTCTGGGAGCGCCGGTGTGTTGGGATATGAACATACGGATAGATTTGGTGGCTCTGCACAGCTTGGTGGAATCGTGACCTTTGGTAGTACTACTGATGCATGATAAGGTAGACATGGTTAGTGCCTTGTGGGAGAGCGTATACAGTTCGGTGGAGCAGATGGATCATCACAGACTGGTGAGATTGATGCAGCGGGAAGTGGCGGGGGGGGGGGGTTGTTATGGCCGATGCTCGAGGCTCAGAGGAAAAGCAAGAGGGAGGCTTGATCAGAATGCTACTGGCACCATTAGTGTTGGAACTCTGCACTGGCTGCTGAAGATAGGGACACCGCGTTTATGGGAATGCCCCGAGTGCTGTGATGTCAGTTCTTGAATTAAGTCAACTCAAATTTATGGGGTTTCCGTGAAAATTACACCCGTGAACTGAACATGCAGCCGCGAAAGGAACACACTAAAAAACAAACAAGCTGCAGTGAAAATCCTCATCAACAGATTTTAGGCATTTCAAATACGAGTCTAAAACTATAAAAATCTAACAAGGTCTACATCTAAAAGTTTATTTCTGTTGTCGAGCTAATTCCTAGATTTTTAATGAAATGGAACAAATTGTTTTTCGGAGCACCGACCAGATGGCCGGAGTACATCTAAAAAATAGGACCGTCCGGTGAAAACGGGACGTAGGGTCTCCCTACATAACACAATACGGAACAATATCGTCTGGAAAGACGACAAGGCGCCAAAAAAGACGACTAAACCAGTCGGTAATCCAAAAACTCTCCGCAAGGATTATTTACGACTTTTCCTCTTTCGTTTCATAACCCGCTGGTAAACTGGAATCATGTGTGGTTGTGTGTGTAAGTGTGTGTGCGTGCGCGCGCGCGCGTGTGTGTGTGTGTGACGGGAAAAAGCCTTCTAAACTCACAGTCTATGTGAGTTTCTGAAACAGCTGCAGAAAAGCATCACATTGACACATTCAGTAGAGCAGGTCTGGTTTGCCAAACGTAGACATCGCTACAGCATAGACAAAAACAAAAAATACAGAAGGAATGAATACAAGAAAGAAAAGAAAAGAAAGAAAGCTAGAAAGAAGGAAAGATAGAAAGAAAAGAGAAAACGAGGGGGAAAAGCATAAAATAAATTAATAATAAACAACCACAAAAACAGTCAATTTTCTATGCTTCCTAGTTTTTGTCTTCAACATATACGAGTTTTAAATTCAGCCAGTAAGAAGAAACTCCACAGGGGAGCATGTACACCAGGAGTCTACCAATCATCAGTAGAAGATCCCTCGCCCACAACTGTTTCGGCCCACGAGCTCCTAGACAATCTCAGAGGGTGGGCCCACCTGAGTTAATGAAGCTCAGGCTTGATCTGCTCCTGCTGCACGTATTACCGGATGTTCTCGGACAGGGACAAGTCGAAAATGGTGAGTAAGAAACGTGCACTTTGAGATTCGAAGTTTATTTATAATCGCTGAGGTAGCCTATTAGAACAATCGGCATACCTAGACGCCCAAAGGGCAAGCTAACGGTTGGTTTATCGGACGCATGTTAGACTTTTTTAAAGCAATTTGCAGAGGGACACAGGCAGACAATTCGGACACGATGGACTATTAGGGATAAGACTTCTTTTCGACTAGATACCTGGCCAGCCTACTGAGGCCCGTCCCCCACGACGTTCCGTTGTGTTCAAAGTCGGCTTGGGGCTCTCTCTGCAGCCTCGCCCAGTTGTTTTAGTGATCGTTTGAGCCCGTATCTTTGCAAGCCCAGTTGCTTAATCACATTGTACATGGAAGATATTAGATACACCAGTCTGTGCGTTGTCTGTGACAATCTAAACATACTGATATTTAGATATAAATATTCATTATTAATTATATTATTACATTATTTTTGATCAAATCAGCACTTTATTTACCAGTGTAAAAATCGATTTTATTATATTAGGCATTATATTTAAAATATAAACAAATGCAAGGCGAATTAACAATTGATTTATATGTTTACAGTTGCATGAAATCAATACAACACATTTTGTGAATTCTGCATGATATAAATTAGTCAACAAACGAATCATGTGAATCTATAGATATGTGGCTCTGCGAAGATGGACCCAATAACATTGGCAACCTAAATGTATAATCTAGCTGTACTAGTTATCAATCAAGATAACATAGAATAGGTGGTGATAACAAGTCAGGAAGAAGATAAAAACACAGCCGAGCACAAAGAGTGGGAAGCGACAGTGAAATTCATAGCCTGTTCAGGACCGTGGTAGTACAGGCCTGTCTGCTGACGTCATCAGCTTTACATGACGTCACCGCCGGTGGCTAACAGTACTGTTTTTTCAGTGTGTTCCAGTCCGTCTCCTGAACACTAGCCCACAAAACTTATATCAGTAAGCTCATGGCTATTCAACAGTCAGCCCGCGGACCAAATCTGGCCAGCTGAGGCCTAGCGAGTGGCCCGCGGATCACTGCTGGTTGTAATAAAATAATGGTCTGCCGACGGCCCTGGTCTGTTTAAATCACAACTGATCACTGACATCATGACGGGTAATATATTGAAATGGCTCGGGAAAATAGAGAGAATTGCAGACTATAATAGGGACAAAAAAGAAAAAGAAAAGAAAAAACTGTGTATACAAGAGTGTTGAATGGAAGCAGATAAAAAACAAGGAAACCAAAAAGACGGTAAAGAGATGGTACTATTATCCGAATAGCAAAACAGCTACCACTAACACTATATTATACTAGTACCGTTACTACTGCTGCTGCTGCTACTACTAATACTACTTCTACTGATTATTCTACTCTGCTGCAGCGACTTTTGTATGAAATCAAGGCGACTGAATGAGGCTGACTTACTTAAAGTCTATTCACGTGATAGCCATTCTCAGTAAACAAACACTCTTTGCGATCATTATCACTGAGCTGACATTAATTGCCCCCTACCCCTCCCTACCTCGACCCAGCCTACAATAGGTACTAGATAAAGCTCTAGGAAGTAAAGGCTACCGGCGTGATGCTGACCACATCACCCACCAAGTGCCGATCGGTCTATAAAATATAGGTCTATGCCTATTTTCCCACTACGCCTAAAGACGTGGAAAGGGGTCCTTCACTTTGACTTCACTCTAAAACAAATATGTCCTAAATGTGCCGGTACTCGCTACAAAGTGTCTATCACATTAGCACCGGAAAAGGTAGGTGATTTACTGTGAGAAAAAAATCGTCAAGTTCAACCAGCATCCCCAAAGAGGGAGCTCTAGGTTATAATTGTGACAAGGTTATGTGCGCGACACAAAATGGTTTAGCATAGCTCGCCACCAAGAGTCCTGAAAAGAACTCCTGCAGCGTTGATGCGATCACAGGAGACAGACCCAAATACTGTCCCGACCTTGAAGTCGTCTACCGGTGAACCAATGGGCAACCCAGTCGCTGATGAGGGACGACAAAAAATGGATCCACTTAAAAGGTCCAAGACATGTAAGCAGAGAGAAGTCTTGTGGTTTTCCAGTTTTGTTTTTCTAACTGAATGACCTCATTGTATTTTTATAAGTTTTAAAAATAATCCACCTTTCTTATATGCACATAGACAATTTAAATCACAGACATCAGAAGGAGACAGTCATCATTTTTCGACCATGTCATGAGAAAAGGGAAAATAGAACATGTTGTGACCACTGGAAAGATATGTGGAAGGAGAGATAGAGGAAGACAACGAGAAAAGATGCTTGACAGTTGCATGGCATGGAAGTGTGTCGGCACACGAACTGATACATGCTGCAGGAGATCGCAGATTATGCAGAGGCATGATTGCCCACGCCATTCGGCAAGGCACCTGATGATGATGATGATAAAATTTAAATATTGAAGTGAAACCAAAAAAATTTTCATGTATGAAAAAAAAATAAAAAAAAATAGAAAAGTGAGAACTATAATACAACACAGTTAGATCTAGAGGAGCTGGAAGACTGTTTCTGCATAGCTGCCCGAGTCGCTTCCTGGAAGACCTCGCCAAGCCCTTCTTGAGTTAGAGCTGAGCATTCTAAATACTTGACTGCTTTGATGGTTTTGGCCATTCTCAACCCCTCTGACCGTGAAATCACCTGTAGATGTCACAGAATGTCATGAAGCACAGTAAAATCACCTGTAAAAGTCACAGAATGTCATGAATCAACAGCACAATCACGTGTAGAAGTCATAGAATGTCATGAATCAACAGTTCAATCACCTGTAGATGTCATAGAATGTCATGAATCAACAGTACAATCACCTGTAGATGTCATAGAAAGTCATAAATCAACAGCATAATCACGTGCAGAAGTCACAGAATGTCATGAATCAACAGCATAATCACGTGCAGAAGTCACAGTATGTCATGAATCAACAGCACAATCACGTGCAGAAGTCACATAATGTCATGAATCAACAGTACAGTCACGTGTAGAAGTCACAGAATGTCTTGAATCAACAGTACAATCACGTGTAGAAGTCACAGAATGTCATGAATCAACAGCACAATCACGTGTAGAAGTCACAGAATGTCATGAATCAACAGTACAGTCACGTGTAGAAGTCACATAATGTCTTGAATCAACAGCACAATCACGTGCAGAAGTCACAGAATGTCTTGAATCAACAGCACAATCACGTGCAGAAGTCACAGAATGTCATGAATCAACAGCACAATCACGTGTAGAAGTCACATAATGTCATGAATCAACAGCACAATCACGTGCAGAAGTCACATAATGTCATGAATCAACAGTACAGTCACGTGTAGAAGTCACAGAATGTCTTGAATCAACAGTACAATCACGTGTAGAAGTCACAGAATGTCATGAATCAACAGCACAATCACGTGCAGAAGTCACAGAATGTCATGAATCAACAGCACAATCACGTGCAGAAGTCACATAATGTCATGAATCAACAGTACAGTCACGTGTAGAAGTCACAGAATGTCTTGAATCAACAGTACAATCACGTGTAGAAGTCACAGAATGTCATGAATCAACAGCACAATCACGTGTAGAAGTCACAGAATGTCATGAATCAACAGTACAGTCACGTGTAGAAGTCACATAATGTCTTGAATCAACAGCACAATCACGTGCAGAAGTCACAGAATGTCTTGAATCAACAGCACAATCACGTGCAGAAGTCACAGAATGTCATGAATCAACAGCACAATCACGTGTAGAAGTCACATAATGTCATGAATCAACAGCACAATCACGTGCAGAAGTCACATAATGTCATGAATCAACAGTACAGTCACGTGTAGAAGTCACAGAATGTCTTGAATCAACAGTACAATCACGTGTAGAAGTCACAGAATGTCATGAATCAACAGCACAATCACGTGCAGAAGTCACAGAATGTCATGAATCAACAGTACAGTCACGTGTAGAAGTCACATAATGTCTTGAATCAACAGCACAATCAAGTGCAGAAGTCACAGAATGTCTTGAATCAACAGCACAATCACGTGTAGAAGTCACATAATGTCATGAATCAACAGTACAGTCACGTGTAGAAGTCATAGAATGTCATGAATCAACAGTACAGTCACGTGCAGAAGTCACATAATGTCATGAATCAACAGTACAGTCACGTGTAGAAGTCACAGAATGTCTTGAATCAACAGTACAGTCACGTGTAGAAGTCACATAATGTCATGAATAGACAGTACAATCGCCAGCAGAAGTCATCGAATGTCATGAAGCAACAGTACAAATTATACGTTGAACTAACATAATTTCATGGATAAATCGAGTCCTAAAATATCCTACAATTTCTGGAATCAAGCTAAAGAAAAATTCCGACTTTTTGGAGTCTTGTTAATTTTTTTCTTTCGTTTTGGTGTATCTGTACCTTTTGTTTCGGTATGCCTCTTAACGTCCGACCCCATTTACACGTCGTGAGAGATGGTCAATCTGACGAAGTAGGGAGTTGCTATGACTGGGTGAAGCACAGGATGGTCGCCACTGAACACTAGACGCCCGCCTGCGGATCGGAAGGTACCCTAATTATGAACCCTAATTTCATTCTCAGCATTTCCTGGGCTTTCACAATTACTACCTAGATTCATGTTTGTCTCTAGTGTTGCATCTGCTTGATCTGTTATTGGTTTCTTGAATATATTATTCAAATTCAACAGTTATTTTGTTGACCAATTGTTATGTTCACCAGTTATAAACGAATCTTCTTCTTCTTCACTTCCTCTTTTACCGCTGTGGGTGTCGAGGGAGATTTAAGGTTCTGTTTCTAGCTTTTCTGGCTGCTTCGACCATAGGCACATCGTGCTGTTGTAGAGCTTCTCTGATGTTATCCTTCCATCTTGTTCGTGGTCTACCTCTTGCTCTACGACCTTCTTCCCTTTCCATGTATGCTTTGTATGGTATGGTGTCACAAGGCATTCTCTCTAAGTGGGCAAACCATTTCACGTCCTGTCTTTGTATGTAATTTATAATTGGTTCTGTGCCGACTTTTTCTCTTATGATCTCATTCCTGATCTCATCTCTTATGGTCACTCCTACATAAACGAATGACACCTATAAATTAGCCTGGACTCTTTAGGAGAGTATTCCCTTCATACGGCCGTGGCACATAAGGCATATGGGACAAGACTCATAGTTTTAGAGAATGATTAGTCCTCAATGGGTGATGTGGTCAACACCACGCAACCACTTTTACTTCCCAGGACTTTACCTGACACCAATTTAAGGCCAAGCCGACCTGGAAGGTAAGGTCATGTTTGAAACAAATCAGACTCCAGGGGGTCCACAGATGGACGTTTAGCCTCTAAACCACTGCGGATCCCTCCGGCCGGGACTATACCTAACAATAAAGAGCAATCTAAGCGTACCTGTTTGCTGTTGCCTTGTCTGCCTGCAGTTTGTCTGCAGTCAAGTTTAGTTCCCACCAAAACTATCGGCGCTTGGGGACAGTACTGTGTGAGTTCCGGTTGCCACTGTGTGCATACAAAAGAAGGACAGCAAAAGTTAAAGAAATGTTTTCCCGTTGTAAATTTGAATAAAGAAGACACACACAACAGATAGCACAATTTATTGCCTGTCATATCTAACTGAATCTCGCCAGGTGCATACTTCAGTAACAATTACATAAATGAAGCAGATAATTGAATCGCGATTCATTACCTCCGCCCAGAACTATGTAAACAAAAAAACACCATTCTGACACTGTGACTGTCCTGGTTAACTAGGCAGCTGCGTTTGATTGCTATTGGATTTGTACTTCAGTTATAAAGGATTCACCCATTGCTTCATTTATGTAATTGTTACTGTAGTATGCACCTGAGAGATACAGCGAAATATGCCAGGCAATTAACTGGTCAATCTATTGTTGGTCTCTTCTTTGTGAAAAACAATAACTCACAAAGGAGACCCTCCCCCCACCCCCCCCCCACACAGACGCACGCACGTGCGCACGCACGAACATACACACACAAATTAATATATACAGTGTGAAAAAAGGTAATATTGATGAGTTTTGTGACCTTACAAGTGGCCGGTCGATAATATTTTTAGGTTCAACGGGATATTCGGAAATTGCCATGTCGACTTGCCATCCAGATATGCGATTTTTGGTTCTTTTGTAATATTCTACCCCCAGATGACGTCACAGGACAGTCCAACATTTTAGAGGATGGTAAAACTGGGTTTCCCGGCTTTCTGATGCCTTTAATGACCTCAAAGCATCTAGAACTGGCCCTAACCCCAACCCACCTACGTCCCACGAGACAGTGCAGCCTAGATCCCACGACTGCATGCAGCCTAGGTCCCACGACTGCATGCAACCTATCTACCACCCCCTGAATTATTAGACTGTCCCGTGACCTGTGGATTTCGACTGTTTAGGGTAGGATATTGAGAAAGCAGCCAATTTTTGATATCTCAGACCCCGTATGGGTTCCATTGCCCTATTTCAGGGGGTAAAAAGGGGTGGGGGAGTGGGCCCACTGTCCACTACCACGCATCATATAAAAAGGTGATTAACAAAAATGTACTCAGATCTGTTGTGTTGGACTGCAAGGCGCAGATGTAGCAGCCTAGCTGTAAACAGTAACATAATGTGCTAACCGCTTTTAAAGGATGGAGTGAACAAGAGAAAGAAGAAATGAATCAGGATGATCAAATCTTCAGGTACCAGCACGACAGGAAGCAAATGACGCCATAATTATGTCAGCAATGGTTCGCTATTTCACTGCCTAAAATCTGCCATTACTGCCTAAATATACCACTTGTGTGGTGTAGGAAGGGCGTCTTTGTGTCTGAGGATTTAGGGCCGCATGGTTGATGCTGTCCTCACAACTGTGCAGATTAGGATTATATTTGTGGCCTCGATAGAAAAACAAACCCACAGTCTTACTGAGGATTCGAACATGGGTCGTCCTCACTAGCTCACAGCATCTGCAGGCCAACATGTTGCCAAATGATCTACAACATATGCATCATCATCATCATCGTCATCATCATCATCATCATCATCATCATTATCATCATCATCATCAGGTGCCTTGCCGACTGGCTTGGGCGTTCATGCCTCTCCACAATCTGCGATCTCCGGCAGCATATATCCGTTCGTGTGCCGATACACCTCCATGCCATGCAACAAGATTTTCAAGAATCTTCTCTCGTTGTCTTCCTCTATCCCTCCTTCCACGGATCTCTCCAGGGGTCACGACATGTTCCATTTTCCATCCTCTCATAACATGGCCGAAAAATGATGACTCTCTCCTTCTGATGAGTTGTCTTCGGGCTCCCGCCTTTTTAAAAACCTCTTGGCTGCTCTTTTTGGCTGTCCAAGGTATTCTAAGCATTCTTCTGTAAAACCACATCTCTGAGGCCTCAATAAATTGTTTGGCCTGCCTACCGATTGTCCAGGATTCACAACCATATGTTAAAACTGGATGTATGTAGCAAGCAAGAATTCTTTTTCTAACTCTCAATGACAAGGATATATTGCATTTTATAAAATGCATATCTATTTTAATGTAATGTGTTTTTTTCCATTTTTATATTACCTTTGACTTGACATTTTCAGCACTGGTTTTATGGTCTAGAGCAAAACAGAGTAGAAACACGTCCTGTTTGGTGAGAAATAAACAAAGACAACGATTTTGAACACAATAATAAGTTTAACATGGGGAAGTAACTTTACCGACGTGGTGCCTTTATATTTTTATTTACTGCTTATACCCCTTTAGACAGCCAGGCCCTTATTTCACTAAACAACGTAAGATAAGTTTTTTCTCTCTCTGTCTTGCCTCTTTCCTTCTCTCGTTTTCTCTCTCCTTCTATCTCTCGTTCTCTCTCTGAGTCTCTCTAACTATATGCCACTCTCTCTTTCTCTCTCTGTCTGTCTCTTTCTCTTTGTCTCTCTATTTGTCTCTCCGTTTATCTCTCTGTTTCTCTGTCTCTCGCTCACTCTCTATCACACTCTCTCTCACTCTTTCTCTATTCCTCTCTCTTTCTCTCTTGCCAACTTTCTCTTTATCTCTCCATCTCTCTCTATCTCGGTATCTTTTCTCTCTCCATTCCCCTTTTCTCTTTCTATCTCTGTCTCTCTCTTTCTATCAGCTGTGTTTGGCTGAAAGATGGCTGTCAGTCACATAACAATGTGCCACACTCTAGTTTAAGCAAGAAAGCGGAAAAAGCAGAAGAAGAATGGAGAGAGATTGTCCCTGAAGACAAACTAATCTGGGTCTGACTGCAAGACTAAAATGTCGAATTTATTCTGTTAAAAAAAATATAGCTGGTAAGTAAAACAACCAGTCAACCAAGCAATCATTCTGTTTGTTAATAATTAAATCCACCAACAAATCAGTTTATTACTCACTTACAGAAAAGGCTCACCAGTCTGTTATTAAACACATTAGCATGCATGAAAGCGTGCGCGCGCCCACACACACAAATTATTAGTCATTTTGTCACTGAATAAATCAGCCAATTAACTAATCAAACAATCAGTAAATAAGTCAACCGTCCAGTCAAATTGAAATAAAACATCGACTGAACGAGTGTCAATCAATTAAAACCTTCAAAATTCTTTCCAGTAACCAATTAAAGAAAAAAAATTGATCAAAGAACAAATCAAATAATCAAAAACTTCCAGCCCTATAACAAGCATATCGTAGGCGACTGATTACGTGGGATTAATACGAAGTTGCAGTGTATCTGTCTGAGAGAAGAGAAACCAACAATCTGCATATAAATAAGCCAGATATCTAAATCGGAAATGCACGCAAAACTCAAGTTTGGAGCAAAATCAACGTCCAGAAGAGAACTTACCAGTGGAGTTTACAGCCGGCGAACCATTAAGAAGAAAAAGAAAGTCAGTCAATCTGTAAATCACTTTAATCCACGCCCTCCTATTTGTTGGGAAAGGGGGGGGGGGGGGGGTTAAACTTACGGCGCCTGGATAGGACAGAGGTCGAAGCCTGTCATAATCTTCCTGACCAGCAGTGTCCCAGAGACTTAGCGTGACGTCAACATTATCCACGCTCAAGTCAGCCGTTGTGTTGTCGAACCTGATTACAGGGAGAAGGTAACATCAAGTTTATATTTAATCCACACAATAATTACCTGGCAAATCAACATTAAGGTTAGTTGCGTATCCTTTACAGAACGTTGTAGAACCAACTCTAACAGCCCCTGGCTGTTGTATGGTTTCTCTAGGCAAATTTACGTCCAGTAGTTTGCCATTGTTTACTGGACGGTCGGCTTTCTTGATACCACTGTCGAAACCAACGCAAGGCGCGTGGCCCGCAGCTGGGATCGAACCAGGCATCCCGGCATTACGAAACGTTCGCATCGACTTAGCCACAGAGCCGTGTGTTTTACTAGTTTGCCATTGCTCAAATAACGGTCGCTTTTCGATGTTTGCCAATTACTGCCTTTGTTATATTACTTTCAGGGTGTAGGCAGGCGACATCTTTGATTTGATAGGGATACAAACAAATTCGTTTATGTTGTGTTATTTATTGGAAGGATCATTTCCCTTGTTATACAGTTGTTTCACATCCTTGTCTATTAATATCCTGTTATATAATTAGAAACATACTTGACACAGTTTGTTTATCTGCCCGCTGTTCGTATTTCGGACTGTCTATCTTCGTACGCTACAGATTTCTATCTTGTCAATCATCATTGTATACATTCCTTTTACATGCCAAAAATGAGCCGCCTTTACTTTCTACTAAACTTCCTGGCTTTCATTATAGACAGTGAGATTTAGAAGAACATTTCAGTTAGAGAGAAATATTGGTTTCTCTGAAGTACTCATACACGCGATGTCATCATCGTCATCATGTATCAGGTCCTTTGCAGAACGTTGCTCTCATCACTGTCTGCCTGGGGAAAAAAAAACTTCAGTCTCTCGTCAGCTCTTCCACATAATTTACTTTCACTTATATCCTGTGCCCATCTTCGTGTTGGTCGGCCCCTGCATCTCCGTCCTGGTACCATGCCTTCTGCTATTTTTTTTTCCCCATCCGCCATGGCGCTTGATTTGACCAAAATATTTTAGCTCCTGAGATAGGATGCTGTTTATTAGCCAATATTCCCTGATGTTCAGATCTTTTAAGATGTCAATATTTCTCCTCTTTTCTGTCCAAGATATTCTGAGAATCTTTTTTTTTTTAGCATTTCAGCTCACACAATGAGTCGTATTAATAGTTAGCCATCAGTCGAGGTTGAAACACCACTGCAGACGGATTGCTCCCTACAGACAGATTGCTCCCTATAGACGGATTGCTCCCTATGGACGGACTGCTACCTACTGTCACGTCCCTGTGCCAGTGGTAACCTATGTCTCATTTGAAAACTATTGAAAATCTCCTCAGTTCCAGCAACAACTTCAATCTTGCACAGGCAAAGTAAAAACACACAAGGCAGCTGTCTTGTGTGCCAAAATTAAAAGCCATATACCACTATGGCAGCTCACTGTTTCCGAAAATGGTTAATCATAAAAGCCAGCATCACGTCTTACAAGTACATGCCATTCGGAAAATAATCGAAATTCATTTGCAAGACACTCAAAAATATATATAAGTCCCTACAGATAAAGATATGATAAGACAAAGACGGTGAAGTGAGAAAAAGGAACTGAGAAAGGTAAGAAATAAAAGAGAATAAATTACATTGTGTGAAACAATTAAACTGGCCAAGACTGCCTAACTGTCCCCTCATAGTAGTGGATATTGAGAAAGTGTCATGTACACAAACCAAAAGACCCAAACTGGTAACCAAGGCGCAAAAAATACGAAATGGGAAAAACTATAGGATATGTCATATACAATACTAGTTCCCGTTTAAGACGGGTCGACTTGGTAACTAGGGTAGTTTGAATTGTTAAAAAAATCTGGCTTCTTCGAAATGTGAACCTATGCCCTTCTGATCCACAGGCTAGTGTCTGGCCGCTACACGACATTTACATATTCATGTGTGTGCGTATGCAAACAAGTATACGTGCATTTACACGTGGGCGTGTGCGCGTGTTTGTACATATACATATGTGTGTGTGCATGCAAACACATATGCGTGCATTCTCACGTGAGAGTGCAGAGGTGTATATTATGTGTGTGTGTGTGTGTGTATATATATATATATATATATATATATATATATATATATATATATATATATATAACATTGTAATTATGTCTACATAGCGGCGTCCGTGGCTAAGGCGTTGCGAGTCCGACCTTACGCGATTGAAACCCACTGCGTGTTGCTTGGATCTTTATCGTGGTATGGGACGTCGCTGGTCGACAGCCTCACATGGGTACCGGGATGCTGTCCTGGGGAAGTAAAGACGGCCGGCGTAATGCTGACCACATTACCTACCGAGTGCCGATTGGTCTGTAAAAATATGGGACGCTCTGCCCATATACCCGATGCGCCTTAGGGATCTTTACTCACTAAGGGATCTTTACTTTTTTAAACAAAATTATCTCTACATAGGTGGGTGTGGGTGTGTATAGTGCATACCAACCCCTTTCGCAAGAACCCTCACGAGGTACCAGAGTAAGGTCCAAGCCATTCATTTTGGTGCAATTAACATTTCTTAGCCAACATAATTAGCACAAAGAAACCAAACCACAATTAAAACCGATACTGCTCGCGGTAGGTTAAACGTGGTTGATTTTTTGTTTTCTTTTTCATAAATGGCTGGAGGGAAGTCACCCGTCATTCGTGTGGAGTCAACAGCACGCCGCGGACACAACAGCGGGGGAAAACACACATTTCATACGAATTCCACAGCTCATGGTGTCGCTGAGTTTTTAAAAGGGTAGGAATTGATTTGATTTGATTCAAGAACCCACATCACAGCACTCGGGGCACTCCGTCCCCATCTTCAGCAGCCAGCGAAGAGTTCCGATACTAATGGTGCCAGTAGCTTTCTGATTAAACGTCCGTCTTGCCTTTCCTCTGAGCCTCGAGCATCTGCCAGTACCTCTCGTCATCCAGAACTGCATCAATCTCACTAGACTGGTGATCCATCTGCTCCTCCGAATTGTACACCCTCTTCCACAAGGCAAAAAGGGAAGCAAATTATAGGGAAGAGAAAAAGAGGGGTAAGAAAAAACAGATAGTTTATGTAAGCTTTACAAAATCAATCCCTATGAACAAACAAAGGACGTTGCGGCGATTAGCCTTCATAAGCACATAAAGAACAACACAGCACTCATACACAAATATGCACTAACTATGAAATGACTACATAGGACTCTAATGTACTAAATAAAAAATGATACTCATCTGTGTCCCTGGCAAAACACTTCGTTCAAGAAAATGAACAGGACAGGTACAAGCCTACATATCGCTTCCGCGAGGACGGGAGGGGGAGGGTGCTGAGTAGCGGGGGTGACTGCACCTTAAGACTCCTAGTCCAGAAACGGGGAGTTTACGTCAGCAAAACCTAGTAAGAAATAATTTTTCAGAGCGTCTCCGATCAACAGCTATCTGCTATTTTGGCCGAAATTGTATGTCATACATAAATCACAGGTTTGTACCGAGTGTTGCTGTTTAATACAGTTTAAAGCAAGAATCACACCTACACTGTTGGTACGTAGTCCTCAGGAAACGCATTCTCCACATAGCTGGTTAGCAAACAGGTTTTTCCCACTGCCCTGAGGAGAAAGCATGAAAACATTTAGTCAACTTGACACATTGCCTTTATAACAAGCATGACGTAAATATCAACTAATTTGGGGTTTACTTCGAAGTCAGGAACATTTGCTTGAGAAGGAAGGGACTAACAAGGCCAGGCAACCGAGTGTCCAAGTCCAAATCAGAGAGATATGACACCAAGAGGAAACATCAAATAAGAACAGGAAAGAAACGCACAGCTAACAACAGGGTGGAGGACGAGCGGTCTGACTTGGAAGGAAGCATCAAGCCCAGAAATGGTGCAATACTAGAATTTAGTCACGAAAGTGACGCAAATAACCCAGACTACAAATATAGGCGGAGACTGTTAGCAGCCTCGGCTAGCTAGCAGCAGTCTGAAAGTGGTCGACCTTTTTCATTTTTTCTCTCAAAAGGACTTGGACTTGGACAATCTGTGTACTAATAAGCCACATATGTGAAACTGATATGGACGCAAAATTCAAGTTTTGGAACAAGACTAGAGTCCAGAAGTAGACGAACAACCAGAACTTTCCGCCTGAATTTACAGCCGGTGAGCGCAAAGAAGAGGAAGATTTAGTCGAAGCTCTGATGGTTAGGGAAAGCCATCTCATACATGCAAGTTTTCTTCTCATCTTGAGGATAAACGAAGAGAATCTCATGCGTGAACACGCTCAATTTGTGACATAAAAACGGTATAGGTAGGTAGATGTACCCCACTAGGACATCACACAAGCGATAAACACCCGGTGACACAAAGTGCCACCATGCGGATGAGCATCACCTTGGAGAGGTCACAGAAACCCCTTTCAGCCGTAAGATCATATTTATGGCCCGGCTATACTCTGGGCCCCCGGCAAAAGCCAGGGTGGGGCTTCAAATTAACAAAAATTTGCATCTCACGAGGGGGCGACTTTTTTTATTTAAGAAACGGTATGAGAAATGTTTGCTTATAAATGGTTAAAAATAGCATTTAACGAATGCGACAAAAAAAAAAAATGTGTATAGCTACTGAAAGGAATATAATTTTGTCATAATTTTGACGTTCAAAATTCTTCTAATTTAATAAGTGAACATTTTTTAATTCACACGAGAACACATTAGGATTCAACCAGTCAATTGACATTTCTTTCTCATCTAACACATCGTTTGTTTTCAACTCTACGGGCTTTCCCGTCGACTAATAAATACGCGCTATTGGATAACTAAGCGCTTCTTTTTTTCCTTCTTGTTTTCTTGTGAACAGTATAAACATGTAAAAGGACACTTAACCACGCCCTGAAGGGGGGGGGGGGAACTGGGTATATAGGGCTAGACTTACATTTTATAAACCAATCGGCCCTCGGTGGGTGATATGGTTAACAACATGCCGGCTGCCTTTACTTCCCAGAACTTTGCCTAGTACCCATTTAAAGCTGGTTCGACCTGGAAGTCAAGGTCATTCTTGGGGGGGGGGGGGGAGTAGAAAGTGTAATAGCAGACTTTGGGACTTGACCTGTAATAGCAGACTTTGGGAGTTGACCAGTTTTATCAGACTTTATTTGACCTGTAATATCAGGCTCTGTGAGTTGACCTGTAATATCAGACTTTGGGAGTTGACCTGTGTTATCAGGCTTTGGGAGTTGACCTGTGATATCAGACTTTGGGAGTTGACCTGTGATATCAGACTTTAAGAGTTGACATGTAATATCAGGCTCTTTGAGTTGACCTGTAATATCAGACTCTGGGAGTTGGCCTTTAATATCAGACTTTGGGAGTTGACGTGAAATATCAGACTTTGGGAGCTAACGTGTAAGATCAGACTTTGGGAGTTGACCGTAACACAGACCGAGATTTATTAACGCATAAGCAAAAATAATGGTTCATTCTTTGACGCCAAGGGGTGACTCATTTCCACAACATGCAGCCGACATCACCCAAACCACCAAGCATAGCAGCCATGTTGTGTAACCAGCTTTGTGGTCGAACTTTGACATATTGTCCTGTTTCTCGCTATGGAAATATGAAACATATTCATCGTTGGGAGGTAACGGAAAGATTTTTGAAGATTTTGCAACCAAGTATTGGCGCAGGAACTTAGTGGCTCAGGTTTAACCAGCCCCTTCAAAAAGAATTAATATCCATTTATAGAAAACCTCTTTAATACATTTGCTTACATCAAAGCAATTTTGTAAATTTGAACATTGAAGATGAAAAAAATTGATCGTACAACTGACTGCCTGGCATATTTCGATGTATATCGTGCCTTCTACATTAACAATTACATAAATGAAGCAAATAAGTAAATGCTTTGTAAATAAATTGCAAATTCACCAGCAATCACGCGCAACTGCCTCTTTTACCAGGGCAGACGCAGTGTCAGAGTAACGTCTTGTTGTTGCGTTTGATTATTGTTGAATTTGTACTTAATTTAAAAAGGATTCACTGAAAAGCTTTATAAACGACAGTGAGTCATGGGCGGTTAGTAGATTAATGGACAATTATTTGGAAGCTTCGGAGATGTGGCTTTTTAGGCGAAAATTGAGAATACCATGGACATATAACAAGAGTAATGAGGATTTCTTGAAAAAACATGACTCGCCAAGAGAACTGATCGCCCATCATCATCGTGATCATCAGGTGCCTTGCCGACTGACGTGGCCGATCATGCCTTTCCACAATTTGCGATCTCCTGCAGCATGTAACAGTTCGTGTGCTGACTTACCTCCGTGCTATGAAACTAGACTGTCAAGAATCTTCTCTCGTTGTCTTCCTCTATTCCCCCCCCCCCCCATTTCCACAGATCTTCCCAGTGGTCACATCATGTTCTATTTTCCCTCTTCTCATAACATGGCCGAAAAAATTATGACTGTCTCCTTCTGATGTCTGTGATAAGTTGTCTTCGGGCTCCCGCCTCTTTCAAAACCTCTTGGTTGCTTTTTTTTTTGCTGTCCAGGGTATTTTAGGCATAAAACAACATTCTGAGGCCTCAAGAAATCTTCGGCCTGCCTACCGATTGTCCAGGACTCACAGCAATATGTTAAAACTGAATGTATGTAGCAAGCAAGAATTCTTTTTTTAATCTTCAATTACATAAATATATTGCATAAGATGTTCTTCATTTTATTAATTAAATGCAGTTTTTTTGCCAGTCCTGTTTCTTATCTCGGTGATGCATCTTCCACTTGACGTTATTCATGTGCCCAGATACTTAAATTTCTGTACTTGTCCTAAAATAACACCATTGACTTCTTTTATTACACATTTTGGAAAAATTATTTTCTTGATACCGCCATTACTTCTGTCTTTCCATTATTCAAACTGAGGCCCATTCTTCCACTTCCTATCAGTACATTGTCTATCATTTCCTGTAGTTCTTTCTGACTTGTTGCTATCAAGACTGTGTCATCAGCATAACGTAAATTGTTTATATTATGCCCACCAACCACAATTCCGGGCATATCAATTAAAAATCTCATTATATATTCACTGAACAAATCAGGTGACAGTACACATCCTTGTCCTACGCCCCTCTTTATGCTTTGAAATGTACCTAAACAGTTGTTAGTTCTTATAGCCGCTGTTTGCTGCCAATACATAATCTTTATTATTCGTAGATCTTTACCATCAATGTTTAATTTTACTACCTGTTTGGTTACTTCTTCATGTTTCACACAGTCAAATGCTTTTGTATAGTCTATGAAGCATAAGTACAAATCAGTCTTTACTTCTATAGCTCTTTCTGACAATGTCCTTAGGATGTATATGGCATTGTCTGTACCTTTTCCTTCTACAAATCCATATTGTTAATCGCTGATTTCTGGTTTAATTTTGTTTCTTATTCTTCTCATAATTATTCTCAGTAGCTTCTTAGTCATGTTACTCATAAGGCTTATTGTGCGATGGTCTTCACATTTTAAAGTGCCTGGTTTCTTAGGCAGAGCTATAAATATGAATTTTAAAAGGTCCTTTGGAATGACACACTGTTATAGATATAATTTAAAACTTAAATTATTGTTTCAATTCCAAAATCTCCCAGTGCTTCGATTTCTTCCAGTGAAATGTTTTCTGGCCCAAGTGCTTTTTCTTTCTTTATATGATGCAATGCATCCTCAACTTCTGCAGTCATTATTGGTGGACCATCATTGTTGGCCTGCAATTCTACATCTGGTCTATTATCATCACACAATTCCCCTATATACTTTGTCCATCTGTTAATTATATTACTATGTCCCATTAATAAGTCGCCATCTTTTGATTTCAAACATCCAGTGCTGTTACGTGTATTTCCTGTTAACATATTTATCTGTTGGTACATGGAATGTGAGTCTTTCCTGTGATTTTCCCCAACCTCTGTACACATTTGCATTTGTTCACTTTTTATTTTTGTATTTTAGAGTATTCTTCTTTATCATTCTTATTCCAACTTTTTTCGTCCATCAACTGTAGAATTTCGGTTGACATCTATTTCTTATTTTGCAACTCTATGTGTTAGTGGGATTGTCTCTTTTGATGTCTGCTGAATTGACTCACGAAACATGTCCACTGTTCATCAATAGTCTGAATAACTTCCATTGCATATTACCGATTTTGTTCAGTGACACTGTACTGTTCCATAATTTCTTTATCTGTTCTAAGTATTCCTAAATTTAACTTGATGTTCTGTGGTGTTTTCCTAATATTTTTAGTTCTATTCTAACCTTTCCTTCAACTGGAACATGATTACTAAAGCAGCCTGCTCCTAGCCTAGTCTTTGCTCCAACTAAACTGCTCCGGAATCTTCTTGAAATCAAAATATAATCAATCTGATCGCGGAAATAATCGCCAGGTCTTTTCCAAGACTATCTTTGAGGATGATGTTTAAATAGGTACCTATAATCATGCTGTGCGACCCAGCTCATGCTATTAATCTTTCACCTCTCACATTATTTTCTCCTAGGCCATAGCCACCCGTTATTTCGTACACTTTTTCAGTTCCTATTTTCGCGTTGAAATCTCCAAGCACCATTCTGGTTGCCCACATTAGAAACAGACAACCTACATTCTTTGGTCAAGTGTTGAGAAGGAGAAAAATGTGACAGTAGGAAAGCTGGAGGGGAGGAGAGGCAGAGGGAGACCGAGAGAAAAGATGTTGGACAGTTTCACAAAATAGCATGGAGGATCATCTGTGTCAGAGTTGACTGAAAGTACACGAGACAGAAGTGTTGTAAATAGACATGATTGCTAAAGTCACACAGCATCTACTTTGGGAAGAAGAATGAATTTTAAAAGCTACAACAACAACAGCAACAACGTATCAACTCCTACTTAAAAGTGAAAGAAGTAAAAAAAAAAAAAAAAGGTATAGAAGAAGAAAAGAAGAAGAAGAAGAAGAAGAAGAAGAAGAAGAAGAAGAAGAAGAAGAAGAAGAAGAAGAAGAAGAAGAAGAAGAAGAAGAAGAAGAAGAAGAAGAAGAAGAAGAAGAAGAAGAAGCAGAAGAAGAAGAAGGAGGAGGTAGATTGGTAGGAGGAGGAGGAAACGTGTGGTGTAAGCTTTCCTGCTGCAAACAACAGATGGCCATGATCGTAGTGATGATTATGGTGATGCCAACGATGTAATGGTGGTGGCAGCAGTGATGCAAGTGAAAGAGTTTACAATTTGTGGACTGCCATTTCCAGTAGCGAATTCTCAGTACTTACCCATCGCCTACCACAACACATTTGATGTTTATCCTTGCCATCGAAACTGAAACAAACAGAAGTCCCTAATGAATAATTCATTTCTTGTGGGTATGAGACTGTTTTAGGGAGTTGCCGTGGCGTTGACGCCTACGGATCAGAACGTCGTGGGTTCGCATCCTGACGAAGCCGGATTTTTTTCTTCTTCAAATAATGACCTTGACTCCCAGGTCCACCCAGCCTTGAGTGGGTACCAGGTGCAGTCCTGGGAAGTAAAGACGGTCCGCGTGATGCTGACCATATCACCCACCAAGTGCTGATTGTCTCTACAAATATAGGTCTAGCCCTATATTCCCACTAGGCCTAAAGGCATGTAAAAAGGACCTTTAATGTGATTGTTATAGATATATCACCATCAGCAAGTGCTTTGCGAATGGCGTGGGCGATCATGCCTCACCACAGTTTGCAATCTTCTATCGCATGTTTGTTGTTGTTGATTTGACTGATCAACATCAAGGCACACGGGCTTGAACCCGGGACCTCCAACACTCAAAGCGGACACCATACCTCGAGACCACTCACTCTGTCATTTGAAAACTAGTCATAACGGTCCCAGAGACTTATAGCCTATTATTAGTCGATGCGGGCGTTTCGTAATGCCGTGTTCGATCCCAGGTGCGTACTATGCGATGGTTTCGACAGTGGGATTAAAAAAGTAATGGCAAACTACGGACCTGAATTGGCCTAGGAAAACAACACAACAGCGTGAATACTGAACTAACCAGCCTTGCTGGTTGATCATCGTTACCGTGTTAAATGACATTTGAGAAGATGCGAGCAATATATTGCTCTCCAAATAAAATTTTATAGGTAAAGTCCTGGTGCACTTTATAAGTGCGAAGTAAAGGCAAACATGACAGCGGCCAATTTCAGGCTACTTCCACAGTAAAATAAATCTAAATATCTTTGTAACATTTCCATATAAATTATAAACAACATTAATTAAATTTAAGTTTGAAATTGCTTAAAATGATAATATATGTTTGTAAATAGATATATAATTTGTCGCCTAATAATAAAATAAATGTTACAGATATTTAGATTAAACATACAACATTAGGAATTTAGACTTTAAAAAAAAAAGAATAATAGTTATGTCCCTTAGTGAATATCTGTTTTTAAAAAGGAACATTTACTTCCCTTGTTTAACCAAAGGCTTGGCTTTGATATAAAGGAGTATGTTGTATCGCAGCTGAAGCTCAGTGCGTCGTACTTGTGTAATGTCATTATTGTGACATTTGGTCATCTGATACAAATGCCTTTGGCACCGAAAGAGAAAATATAATAAACTAGATGACTAGTCAATAATTATGTCCCATATTTGTTCACTCCGATCGGGCAGCTTCCGCAACATACTTTATGCCAAACGTATTGCTTGCTTGCTTGTTAAACCTAACTAGGACATCACACAAGCGATAAACACCTGGTGACGCAAAGTGCCACCATGCGGATGAGGATCACGCGTGGGGAGGCCCTAGATACCCCTTTCAGCCGTTATGGCCACATTTGTGGCCCACCTATATTCAGGAACCCTGCAAAAGCCAGATTAGGGCTTCAAATAACGAAAAATTGCATCCCACAGGGTGACGAGTTAGATAATAACCAAACGTATTTGTGCTTTTTCTCCTTTATAGTCAGTAAGCAAGTCGAGAGAGGGATCATGCTGCGTGGGCAACACATGGTCTCTACAATGTTCTCCAGCCTTTGTGGAAAGGTAGAACTACGTCCCTGGTTTTACCTGGCTATTATTTCCAATCTCTCTCTAAAAAACAACATTACACTATCATCCGGAAAGACAGAAAAGTACCACCATGATTCAGAAACAAAAACGCAGAAATACAAAGGCAAAGTGGACAACATAAAAACTGCAATCTACAGTCATCAAGAGAAACCCTTAAACGAATGCTGAGAGAGACCAAAGGTGCCAGATTAGATTTCATCCATGATATCGAACAGATTGCACAGGACATAACAGCTCGCTTTCATGATAGTAAGAAAAGTAAAGTAAAGTAAATAAAAGTTTTTTATGCCCTTAGGCGTATAGGGCATATAGGGCTAGACCTATATTTTACACACCAATCGGCACAAGGTGGGTGATGTCCCTTTCATGATTGCAGTGAATAATGGTGATTTCAATGAAACAGATTATGAATTTGTTTGTTGTTTCTCACATTCTATTCCCTGCTTTTGCATCCTTGATGGGTCCAGCATCTTTGATGGGTCCAGCATCTTTGATGGGTCCAGCATCTTTGATGGGTCCAGCATCTTTGATGGGTCCAGCATCTTTGATGGGTCCAGCATCTTTGATGGGTCCAGCATCTTTGATGGGTCCAGCATCTTTGATGGGTCCAGCATCTTTGATGGGTCCAGCATCTTTGATGGGTCCAGCATCTCTGATGGGTCCAGCATCTTTGATGGGTCCAGCATCTTTGATGGGTCCAGCATCTTTGATGGGTCCAGCATCTTTGATGGGTCCAGCATCTTTGATGGGTCCAGCATCTTTGATGGGTCCAGCATCTTTGATGGGTCCAGCATCTTTGATGGGTCCAGCATCTTTGATGGGTCCAGCATCTTTGATGGGTCCAGCATCTTTGATGGGTCCAGCATCTTTGATGGGTCCAGCATCTTTGATGGGTCCAGCATCTCTGATGGGTCCAGCATCTTTGATGGGTCCAGCATCTTTGATGGGTCCAAAGATTCGTCGTAAGACTGTTCTAAAAAATGTGTAATAACGCTTTATCTTTTCTAGTTGTGCTCTACAACCGGACCGCTCTACGACCAATAACGTCTAGAATAATTGTGAGACTTTATTTCATCCACGCGACCATGACCTGCCTAAACGGATGTTTTTACAGGAAGACAACTATAAGACCATTATGGTCACACGCGAAATATTTGTACATTTCAGATCTACCCAAATTCAAAAACCTTTTATCTTGCTACGAGATAGGGTAGGTATTTCGTCTCTGCCATAAAAGCAGTCAGTAGAATTATCACTTCAAGGATGAAAATAAACCAGACACAAGTCAGGAAACTGTTCAGACACTGCCCAGCAAAGCCATTGGCAAACGCATTAGAGTGATGCTATACCCATCCAGAGTATAAATAGAATAATAAACATTTTGCCAGCTAAAAAAAAAAAAACCTAGATTCTAAAACCTCTGTGCAGCAATAAATGTCACACTAGCTACAAGTTGTAATTTTGAGACCTCGAATTTAACAAACTTGTTGATATCTGCATTTGTTTTTGCTTCTGTGATCGGTTAGCGGTCAGGCGGGCCGCCTGTATACAAAATGTTGAAGAACATTGTTCTAGAGGATCCACAACTAACAGCGAGTTTTATCGGTTATCAAATACAAGGTACAGCTCACTTTTCAGGTCTAGCGACGCCATGACTGACCGTTCACTGATGTGTCTTTACCTTTCACACGCGTGATTTTCTCTTATCGGGGTGTCAGGTTGCGTACTCCTACACTTTCACCAGCGATATCCCGCTTTCGGTAAATTTAACGCTGGTCTCCCCATTTACACACTGCCATAGTCTAGCTCGCTTCTGATTGGACGACCTTCTGACCACCTCACTTCTGGTAGGTCGGCCTCTAGCGATCCGACTTTCACACAAGGTCACGGGGATATTTCGTACTCGTGCTCATACCGCGTGTTGTATATTTCACCATGACAGAGCTTTTAACACTTCTAAAACATTTAGATACTGGGTCTAACACCCCCCCCCCCTCCCCCCATAGAGTGACAAAACCTATGTCACAGGCCGTCCCTTTCTCGGAAATAAAACCGTAAATACCAGACAACAACAGACTGCGACACCCATAACCTCTACCACGGTAGACTAGTCCAACCAACTTATCAATGGAGTTGACCTACAACCGGTGGTGTGCAAATGGGGAGACCATCGTATAAATAACCCCTGCTTTCAATACTACACGATGTTACCGCCACTTTTAATCAACTCATAACATCTACAACTGGCTCTAATTCCCCCCCCCCCCCCACTCGGAAACAGTCTCAGTCTAGATCCCATTAGAGAGTGCTAGAGTACAGGATTAAGACGCCTCAATAAACGGCCACTTAGGGTGTCACTGGGTCCGAAAACGTGAGTACTTCCAAATGTGACTTTGTCCAAGCCTAGAGAATTAGTTAGTCACAAATGATTAACAAAATGAAATGCCTGACCTTTCGAGTTATATATTCCAGCACACGAAGTATCGCTCACATAACTTTTTAATGAACACAGTGTAAGAAATGTATTAGTCCATATAGTTCTGCCACAATACAGTGAAATGCCAATAATCGTCTATTTAATACGAAAAGGTAGGGCGCAACCGCCAACAAACGTACACAACACACAAGTGGCCACTCTGAGCTATATATAGTAACCTCTCTCTCTCTCTCTCTCTCTCTCTCTCTCTCTCTCTCGAATCTGTAAATATAAACACTTGCACACAGTCCTCCCTACATACACAACAATTCCTTGAAATCTGAAACACACACACCAGCATTGGATAGTAACGAATGGGAGAAAAACTATTTTTGGGGACTTTAACAATTTGTTGTTTTCAAAGAACTTATGCCGCTGAGAAAGTTCACTGTAACCTTTCAAAATAATGGTATAATTAACAACAAAGTCAGGCAGGGTGAGGCATAGACCAGTGTTCAAACTGAAAGTGACACTAAACACCGAGGCTATATGGAACAGAGAACTTATGACAGATTCTAGTTTCTGTTTCTCAGTCCTAGAGTGATCAATTTTCAGGAAAGTGTTATCTAGTTTTTAATTATTTATTTACAATGTTTTATTTCTTTCCGTTTCTTGGCGTCATTTCATGTTTTGTTACAAATTATGACCCTCAATACTTATTTCTGTATTCCATATTGATTTGTACTGTTTATTATAAGTTCTATTGCTGGTTTTTTAGGGGGGGGGGGGGGGTGGGGGCAATAAAGATTTGCCAAAACGTTAGGTTCAATTGGTGTGTCTTTTCTATTGCCTCCGCTGAATCTACTGGTCTTAGTTTGTAGTGTCATGTACTTCTTGAGATCAGTACAAATCTAATCAATAACAACTCACACTCAGGCGATATTATTAATAACACGCGTGTCTCTGGGTATGGAGGTGCAAATAGCAATCACTGTTTAATTGCAAAGGTAAATGATCATGGCTTGAGAGGAAAAGATAATTGGGTATAAAGTCACACTATTTAGCATCAGAATGAAAGTGGAGGTAGCCACATCAGCTTTCTGTAAATGAGAAGCAATACAGTCATTGCATATTTTTTAAAGGATATATAGTAGGTTCCGGAACCTATAAACTAGAGAACTACGGATTGACTGATTGACGTTTTACCACACAAGAACATCACACCGAAGGATCAGTTTCCTTCTTCTCATCATCATCATGTAGCAGGTCCTTTGCAGAACGTCGCTCTCATCATTGTCTGCCTGAAAGAAACTCGTTCTCTCGCCAGTTCTTCCGCCTCATGTACTTTCATACTCAAGGAGTCACTTATATCATGTGCTCATCTTCGTGTCGGTCGGCCCCTGCCCCTCCTCCCTGGTACCACGCCTTCTGCTATAATTTTTCTTCTTATAGCACGAAATAATACAACTGTCGGCTTCTGATGTTTGAGATGAGTTGTCTTCGAGTTCTCATCTCTTCCAAAACATCTGGGTTTCTCGTTATGACAGTCTAAGGAACTCTAAGGATTCATCTGCAAAGCCACAACTCCGAGGCTTCAAAGAATCGTTGCCACGTTCTTCCAGTTTTCTATTACCATTGGCAAGTTGCTCATAGAAAATTATCAACATAATGAAGACGACAGACTGTGGAGAACAGTAGTTAAGGTTATTGCGGGTGCTGATTCAGGACATTCTAGTCATTGTTTTAATATTGTGTCAAACCAAAGAAACACATAAATGGAAAATGTATACATAAACTTGATGTTGAATGTTGAATTAAGAATTGAAATCACTGCATCCGGGGCATCACCACAAGCGCTTTGTCCCTATCTTCAGCAGCAAGCGAAGAGTTAAAATTCCGATGGTACCAGTAACTGATTGTATATCCGTCTCGCCCCTTTCCCGAGTGTCTAACGTCGGCAAGATGCCCTTGTAACTCCTCGCAGTGCCATTCTCATCACACCGTAATGATCTATCTGTGCCTCGGCACTGTTCACTCACTCCTAAAGGGCCCTCACAACATCCAGCCTGTCATATATCAGTTCACCATCAAGTGGTGCAGAACCGACCAGTCTATATGCCTGCTCATATCCCAACATAAACTTGATGAAATCCTAAACAAACTTGAAAAAAATTAAAATAAAATCTACTTACATGGAGACTGAACTGCTACAATTTGATGCATTCATTTAAAATTGAAATTCCTTCTTATGTTTTTACTATGCTCGAAAACAGAAATCAAAAGAAACGGGACTGTGCTTGCCATCTCAATTTTTTTTTCTTCAGTTTCTTATCTCGAATGTGTGCCCATTTACACACTGAACAATTACCGCGTCGCTAAACAGTGGAACAGACATTTCCACATACGGATGTTGTAATTATTTCATAAACTCGATTATGGTTACTGGCATTACACTTTTGGGTTATCTAACGTGCAGGTATACAGAAAGAATAATAGAAGATAATTATAAAAGTAAAGTAAAGATCTCTTCTCACGTCTTAGGCACATCGGGTATATGAAAAGAGCGACCCATATTTTTACAGCATAATCAGCACTGGATGGGTAATGTGGGGTCAGCATTACGCCGGCTGTCTTTACTTCCTCAGGACAGCCATCCTGGTACCCATTTTAGGCTCGGTCGACCTGCGACGCCCCAGAAGATAGTTATAGTCAAAGTTATCGATAATATCGAGTAATAATAAAGGGTGTTGGTGTTTCGCAGTGCAGATGCACAAACCTCCGCTTGTGGAGAGACATGATCGCCCACGCCAGCTGAAGCTAAAATAAATGTTTAACAATCCCGTCTTTGCTTCTTTGACCTGATTGCCAGGTAAGGGAAGCGACATGTGTCCAACATCTGCCGGTTTGCTGGGATAATATTAGTTATCTATTTCATTCCTACTTTGTCACCAGCTTGTCGTTTGAAATGATCGAGCAGGCGAAATAAAGTCACAATGCTGATCTCATTGTCCAGACAGGTCAAAAGGTCAGATTATAAATTGTATTTTCACACATCACTATCATGTGGCAGGTCACCTGCAGAACGTCGCTCTACTCAATGTCTGCCTGAAATAAACCCGGTCTCTTGCCAGACCTCCCGCCTCGTGCACATTCATTCTAAACTGTCACTTAATTCTGTTCTTCCTTGTCCACGGTATTCTAAGAATCTTTCTATAGCAGTTCAACTCAAATGCCCCTTTTTTAAACTTCATGAATGAAATCCCCCCCCCTTTTTTTCCACACACACGCACACACACACACACTCACACACACACACACACACACACACACACACACACACACACACACACATATACATACTTAAATTCATTAAAAAAAACATCGCTAACTTATCGAAACAATAGTCTCATTTCATTTACAACAATGGTGGCGGCCCCTTTCTCAACTATTACAACTGTGTGGGATGCGCCTTCATTTTACTGTTAGTTCACACCCTGTGTCATTGGTCGTCACGTCTGCCCACAACCTTCTGCTACATTTACTGCCGTACATTTATG